GTCAGTAATCACTTGGTCAGATCATCAGCACAGACCAGACCTGAGTTCAGATGATCTGAGGTGATTGATCCCACAGCTGAAACAGAAATGTGCAGTGAAATGCAGAACTACACCAGTCTACATTGTAAAAAATGTAGAAAAATTACTTCCTGTAGTAACAAGTAACTTAACTGGTTTTATTCAACTTGAAAATTACTTTGATTGACAGAATCGTTCCTTCAGTGTATTTATTTAGGTTGAATAACACTACAAGATTTACTTGTTACTACATGAAGTAATTTTTTTAGGTTGAACTGATGAACCATTTTTTACAGTGTAATAATAGATAAATGACAATAGATATTTCATAATAGATCCCTATGTTCTGTATGAAGTTATCTATTAAACTGTAAAAATGGTTCATCAGTTCAACTTAAAAAAATTACATCATGTAGTGACAAACAACTGAACTAGTTTTATTCAACTCAAAACAATACTTTGTTTGAAAGAATCGTTCATTTAAAGTATTTATTTAGATTAAAAATGACTAGTTCAATTGCTTGTACAGACGAGCCATTTTTTACAATTACAGTAGATCTATAGATATTAGATTACTTAGATTACTACGAGATACTTGTAGATATCTGGTCTATATTATTACAGATATGATTTAATATTTATTTATTTGAGCTTAAATGACTATTACAGATTTTTTTAACAGACACTTAACAAAAGTGTGGTAAATCAAATAAAGAGAGTGAAAGTGAGGATAGTAATTCAGGTCATGTTTAGGTGGATCAGCTCAGTAAGAACGTATGAAGCAGCGAAACGTGAGCAGCCTGCGTGATTAAGATGCGTTATGAAGGCCTGAATGACGTAAGGCAAACAGAATGAGCCTCTACAGAGAAATGTGAGATATTTGATGAGAGAGATTCTCTGTGCCTTACACTGTGTCTTGTAGAGCTTCTGTAGTCGATTTACTTTTCATTTCATTTTTTTGTTCTCTTAAAGTTAACTTTTAGATGAAAAGCAGAAGAAACCACCGTCTGAGTTCTTCTGCCCTCCTCACTGCAGTTCACGTGAACACTGAACTCGCTCTTGACTTCCACTCGGACCGAGTTTTCGTTTGAGCGAACAGCCCCACTAAAGCAGAGCCCGATGATGTGACTTCATGAAGGAAATAAAGCTCAGCTCGTCTGGAATGAAACTCTGTGCATCTCCTGGAAGCTCCTCCTGCTCCACATGAAGCCCCAGAGAGAGTTTAAACAGGACACTTCAGCTTTGGATGTTTAGTTTTTTTATTTTATTTCTTTTTTCATTTCTAATTTAGCTTTGGCGCCATCAGAACATCTGACAGTGGATAAAATGAAAAAGTTACTTTCAGCCCAAACAGAAATTCAGCAGCGTTTCAATTTGATTTAATTTACGAAATGTGTCACAGCAAAATAGTAAAATATTCCACCTAATACTGAACTTCCCTTAACAGAAAATATTTGACCTTTTCTCTGGCCAATAATAATAATAATAATAATAATAACAATAATAATAATAATAATAATATAATCTTTATATATTATACCATCACTTAAACATGTTCGTAAAATTACCCAGATGTGTGCTGCAACAGCTTCCATAAAATGTGAAATAGCTTTAAGTTTTAAGTTTTAATCTGAGCTGAATCTGTGTCTGAGAGTGAATCCACTATGTGCCTTAAATTAAAATTTAAATTAAAATTAAACCACGAACAGTTACAGCTCAACATCAGAATATCAAAAACGCCCCTTTGAATCTGTTATTCTTGATGGTTTTGATGATTAAAATTAATTGATACGAAACTAAAGAAACAAATTAAATCGTGTAAATTATTGCCCTGTATTCCAGGTAGCAAGAGCGCCCTGGCTTTTCACTAAACTCTATACAATAACCACCACGAGACTCTCTTTTCTGCTCTTTCTTTTTCACTGTTACTACTATTATTGAAGTTAATTACTGATGTTCCGATCCAGAGCCCTGTGGTGCTGAGAGGAAATCTTCACCGGGTCTGAAAAAGGAGTCAGATCCTCCTTCTTAGAGCAAACTCACCTCAGATATTATCACTGTAAATGCAGTATCAATGATCGCTGTTTATTCCAGCGAACTGATTGGGTTATTAGGTGATCACAGAGCCCACGTGCTCATAGCTGTCAGCGGCATTTTGCTCTGAATGAATATTCCTGCCAAGACTGCTGTCCTTTACTGGATACATGAATTAATTTAAACAGGGAAAAATAATATGAAGCTAAAAATATTTGTCCTTTATCAGATTAATGAGGTGATAATATTTTTAACGCCTCCGGATTTCTCAATAGGGATTCCACAGTCTAATTGTCCGCTCCGCGCTACAGGTAGAGCTAATTGAGAGGGTCTCTTTCGCTCTTTCTTTCGAGTGGCTCCCTCTGATTGGTCGACTCCAGCTCCACCCACCGTTCCGCACTCGGATTGGTCGCTCGGAGCGCTGATGTCACTGCAGGCGAGAAGAGCAGAGGGAGGAAAGCGGAGAGGGAGACAGACAGAAGAGCAGGAGGAGAGAGAGAGAGAGCAGTCATACACATAACGAGCTGCTCTACCACACGACCTGCTAGAGACGTGTAGGAGGACGTTAGTGGGAGAGAGGGAATAAAGTCGAGCTGTGCATGTAGGCTGAATACGAGACTAGAGAGAGAGAGGGAGAGAGAAAGAAAGAGAGATGGTGAAGCTGCTACACGGCTACACGTTTGGAGAGCACAACATGCTGCTGCTGCTTTACAATGCTGCCACTGGACTCGAGAGGTATTCTGTCCATCTGAAGAAAAAAAAACGACAAATGTGCTTCTTTTTTTTTTTGTCTGTTTTTTCTTTCGCTAAGAATGTGTCTTATGGCTGGTTGGGTTTAGACATGAATCTACACAGTGATGTTCTGTTTTATGTATTATCATTATTATTATTATTATCATTATCATTATTATTATTACAGTCGAGTCTTAGTCGACCTACTTAAAGCTGCTGCTGCTGCTGCTGTTCTGCAGGCTGAGAGAGATAAAGACTCGGAGGTGGACATGCTGTGAGTGTCTGCTCGTGGCTGATTGAGTCTGGCGCTTTGGGTGAAATATTAGAGCATTTGTAATAAGATTTGTGACCTCCATCGCCGACCTCTTTAGCAGTGGACAGGGCCTCGTCCAGTGCTGCTGTGGGGCCGAGAGACTCACATGGCCCTGTGTACAGTGAGGAGAGGAGCTGAGCACTGAGGTGTTTAGAGAAACTGCAGTTTGATCTGATGTGTCTTTAGGCCTGCGTTAATGCTGTTTTTAATATACACTGTGGTGTTTTTTGCCCTTTCTGGACATTTGCAGTCATTTTTTTAATAAAAAATAATGATTTGTTTTTAATTAGCTTCACGACAGTTGGCCTACAGATTGTACTTAAGCTACAAGTTTCCACAGTCTTCTCGAAACGAGATTTCACCTGTAAGCCTTCAGTGTGATCTGTGATACAAGGAAGACTATGACGATAAAGCCAGTCCCTCAATGATGTATTAATTATCTGTCTGTGTAAATATTAATGTATTATTTTGGTAAAATCCCTCAGGAAAGAGGAAAGTGAGGCTAACGGAAAGTAACTGAATAGCTAAAGTGCTCAGACTCTCTTGCAGTAGTATTGGCCCTATAGTGTGTACAGAGAGAGGCTGTCAGTGTGGAGTGAATCAGCTGAGTTGGAGCTCAGTGGATGGAGCTGTAGCTGCATGATGGCGCAGAGGAACAGGACTGTACAGAGTGGCCTACATCAGCACGAGGACCTTACAGAGAGCAGCACACACACATACACACACACACACACACACACACACACACACACACACTTTCTCTCTACTAGCTCATTCACACATGCTATCATGCTGCTGGAGATCTTCACGATCAGTCGTACAGTGTTTCTGAAGTTGGTGGGCTAAACAGTGGAAGGACGCCGTTAGTCAGAGATTACAGTCTTTATTAAAATAACGCGCGCGTTCATGTATGCTATTTATATGTTCTTGCTGGAATTATTATTATTATTATTATTATTATTATTATTATTATTATTATTATACATGCCTTTGTAAGTGCGTTTGTATTAACAGTAATAACTGAATCGTTACAATTACAGCGCTACTGCGTTAAAATTACGCAGGCAAATTTTTTTCACATTTTCTCTCTCTGATTTTCCCTCTTTATTTATATGTATACTGTATAAAGAGAGTTTAGTGCAATTCTTTGTTTTGTGTTTTTATATTAAATGTAAACAAAGATCCAAGAGCTAAAGTGAAACATTACAGTTCTAAAGTATTTATTATAATAGTTACAGTCAGTTGTTGTAAATTGTACAATAAATAAATAAAGTAAGTGGGGAGGTGGATTCAGATGATTCAGGTGAGAGTCTGGGGGGTGTTTAGTTCGGAACTGTTTGAAGTGTAGCTGTACTTGCTTTTAGCACAATAAAGATCTTTTCAGAGATCTCTTGTCTTGACCAATTCTACTTTTCTTGTCCTGTCTTCTAAATTGCTCATTTATTTATATCAAGCAGATTTTAAACTCTCTGCAGCTCTAAACTTTAACAGCAATAATCAGACATTTTAACACCATGTTATTGGAGCCCTGTGTGAGTTGTTAGTTGCAGCTTACTACAGATATTAACATTAAAGTCTCTTACACTAACTTTCATCTAAGGTGGATGGAAAGCCGTATTAAGGGGGGGTGACTTTTGTCTTACTGGGGGGATGGCAGAGTCCTGGTTGTAGTGTAGATAGTTATCTAGCTGCTGTCCCATCAGTGCTGAAGTATTTCAACAGTTATGGGAATGAAGCTGCTTTCTTTATTCCTGTCTCTTCTGTCTTTCAGGTGTGTGGCAGCGCTCCTCCTTCTGGAAATTTCCCATCACTTGCAGCGAGCAGGCTGGGGGTTGGTTTCTGTCTTTGGTTATCTAGCTGTATGAGTCTTAACACATGTCATAAAGCTAGATAACCGAAAGTAGAAATGATTCTCAAAATCTTCTTCTTCATGTTGGGTTCTGGTGCAGAAGCTGGAGCAACAGTCTCAGCAGCTGCTAATGAAGCCACTGGACTCCCTCCTCTATACAGGTAGAGAAAACTACCTGTACTGTACTGTTTGAGATTGAGTGACTCTTTTCAGTTAGGACTGAAGCAGACATATGGCCCATATGTTTTTTTTAAAGATATGTCTTGTGAGTTGATGCTATAGCTTAAAGGATGCAGCAGTTAATATTAGCAAAAGATAACATTAGAAATGTGCATTGGGGAACACAAGCTATCAGGTTTTAATTACACTTGTATATCTGATGTCAGAGGGATATTAATAAAACGTCTAATAAAGGCCGAAGATTGCAATGAGCTTAAGTAAGACATTTGGGGCCATTTCAGAGCATTTTATAATTGAAAGTATATTACGTTGTAAGGAAGTACTTATAAGCACTTTGTCTTTATTTTTTTAATTGCTCTTTTTGTTTTTATTTATTTTATTTGTGCAAAGCAGCTTGAATTGCCTTTGTCTGTGAGATGTGCTAAACAAATAAACTTGCCTTGCCTTACTGTAAGGGACCATTTTGTTTTCATATATGGATGCATAACTGTAGTAAAACATCAACACAAGACAGGTTTATTAGCGCATTTCATACATAAAGTCACAGTGTTTTATATAAATAAATGCAAAAAGAACACCAGAAGGAAAATTAAAGACAAAGTGCTAATGTATTTATAATACAAGGAGAAATACAATAAAATAAGTGAGAATTAATCAACCCATAGGATAACAGTATAGCATTTAACCTCTAGAGGAGTTGATTAAACCTAGGACAACAAGTACACTTAAGTTATACTTGTGCTTCTGTAATATATGAATGAAGCTCTGTTTGTTAGTATATTAGATAAACTTGCATTTTCATTCTTTCTGAAAGAAATGACACAATACTGTTTTGTGTTCAGTGATGGACAGTGATAGATGATTAGATTCAGTCATTGCCCGTGGTGTAGCATTAACTTTCACATTAGTATGGCTGCAAATGTGCCTTCTCTTCGCTTTTTTTAGACTCTTAAGTCTTTATCAATGGAAACATGTTTATCATTGCAGACTTTACTGTGGCACTGTGTTGTGTGACTGAAATATTAATTATTGTACATTAATGATTAGTTATAGTAGTCTAAACCATTTAATATTGAAGTGAAGTTTAAAATTAGTTTTTATTTATCTTTTCCATTTTATAGTGAAATTACGGTGTTATGCTGTGGCAGAGTGAATGGTGTCTGTATGTCCCTATGTTCTAAAACAGTTTCATTTTCATTACCAGATAAAGTTTAGTTTTTAAGGAAATTTTAATCTTCTCATAGCAAGATGGCGCTTCGTCCTGCCGTCACGTGTACTAGGCAGCCGAACATATACAGTATTGAACGTATGCAATGCAGCATCTGTGAAACAAACCGACATGCGGTTGCCATGGTACCAGCTTGGCAATAATAACAAGGATTGTTTTGTAATGCCTCATTTTCATTTTCTCTTTCTGGCTCTCCCCTCAGAGTGCTCTCCCCATCCGCAACATGGCGTAATGAAGTAACATGACAGGAGCACAGGCAGCATGCTGTAGAGGAGGCAGGAGAGACAGAGGCATGCAGGGAGGGAAAAAGCCTCCGTCTGTGAGCACCGTCCGTCTCCTCATGCCTGGAAAGCTCTGGTGCCATCTGTGGCCCTCTGGGGGACGGGGGAAGCCATGCCCGTGCCACCGGCGACAAAGCCCCCTGTCAGCTCCCTGGAGCCAGGCGCAATGAGGGAGGGAGGGAGGCCATCTTGAGGGAAATCTCACTGAAACAGCTAAGATGGCTGGACTGGCACACGAGGTGAGTTGCATCATGGTCTTTTTCATTATTTGAGGATAGAATTGTGTGTGTGTGTGTGTGTGTAAGCATATATCTGTGTGTATGCGTTTGATTGGTTTGCCACTGAGGCTCATCTCTGTGCCTATCTGATCTTACTATACTAATTAGCAGAGAGGGGTTTTTGGGGAGGGCTATGAGAGTGCAGCACAGGAGGAGGGGAGGCAAAGAAAACAAATGAACTGGCACCGATTGCAGCACAGCCTGCCATCTTCCTTTGTTAGGATCGCTTTGTGCTTCTCTAACATGTGAATGAGCATCAAGCGCCGTTCGTTAAGGGAGTTTCTAGTTGCCACACGGTTACCTTTACATTGTAACTGTAACTCAACCGCATTACATTTCCTATTCTGTCTTCTGACACCTGAGTGCTAATTCATATAAGAAACACCATGTAGGTAAAAGGCATTTTTGGGTTATATATGTGTTTCTAGATTATTTCTCGTACACTCCACAAGTAGTTATCATAATTCTATCTATCATACAATACAAGTATTTCGTTGCTGCCAGAACAAAACCTTGTATTCCCAAAAAGGCAACTTTTCAAGAGTTAATATAATGGGATTGTCTTCTAAGTGTTGTTTTGGGAATTTCTGTTGGTCTAGTCTTCATTAAATTTCCACATAATATTGAAGGGTTCATATCTTACATTTTTCTTACATTCTACTTTTTTCCCTGAGGTCCCCTGAGGTTTTTACATTACTATTTTCTAACCTTTCTTAATCCCTTAGAATTAAATGGGCTGATTTTGTCACTGTGCCTTTAAAACTAATATAAGTAAATGCCCTTTGTTGTGATTGGCTGCCCTGAACTGTGCCTCATTCAAAAAGTAGTCTGGGATGAAACACTCCTTATAACTTCCACAAGAGTGAACAGGCCACTGCAGGCTGAGCAGGCAGATGCATGTAAATTGATTAGTCTTCACTAAAACAATTAATTCAGCAGGCTTTTCTTGAAACATAATTTCCATTTATGAAATGCATGGATTGCGGAGTAAAAAAATACGCTTTGAAACTGGTATGTTTCAAACTACATCAACCTCTTTTGAACTGCTTTTTGAGGAAAATTCTACTAGTTTGGCTTGATATGGGTCCTATAAAGCCAGCTGTTGTTTTCATATGATGCAAAAAAAAATGAGATACAAGGTTATGATCAGACAGTTGTACAGCATTATATACAATTATATACAGTATGTCATATACAATAGGTCTTACTCATCAATTGGCAACGGATATTTTGTATTCCTACTGTTTCTTATTTGTATATGTTTGACTTATACTGAGAAAATAAAATGAAATGAATTAGGCTGCAAGGAATTCTATATTTGTTACATTGTACTTGTACTATGTAATGCTGTACATTCAAGTACAGTATTAGAGCTTTATTTGTTTTAAATAAGCAAGTAAGTCTTTAACCTCTATAATAGGTATTCATATAGGTAACTTTCACCTTATCTTATATATACAGACATACATACATATCTAGGATAAACTCTCTGAATCTTCCTCCTGTGTTAGAACAGCATGTTTACATTCCCTGTGAAACTTTTTTTTGGGAGATGCAGAGCTGTGGGAAATTTGCATCTATACTGCACTTATTTACAATTCAAATCTTTTTTTCCTAAAGTAAATAGTTTTGTTTGCAGTCAGGGGTGGATAACGAGAGGAAAATGGAGAGGAGACAATAAAGCAACTAGCGCTGCTAATGAGTGGGGCCGAGCAAAGATCCTCTTGACATAGTTGCATTGAAAGGGAAGAAAAGGGCCAAAGCCTAAGCCTGCGTGTGTGAATGAGAGAGGCAGCATCCCAGAGGCACTTCCCATACACCCTGTGCAAACTGCACCCTGCACCATTCTGCGGCTTTCACTCTTCTCCGTTCCCTCCTCAATTCCAGACCTTAGTCCGGATTCATTGCTTGTAAAAATGTCAGTTGGTTGAATAAGTGAGTCAAAGAATGAACAGTTGAATGGATGAATGTGTGAATGAATAGATCTCCAGAATACTTCACATTTCCCAAGATATTATCTGCAGCATTAACTCTAAAATGAGAAAAGATGCAGTTTATTCTGCTGTGGATTAATGAGTTAATGTCATCCTGTTTTAGCTGAATTAATGTTGATTTTTACATTATGAAGTTTACTTGAATACATAGAGGCCCAGAGACCAGGAAATGTAGAATTTGTTTTCCTTTTCTACACTGTTAAAGGTGCCAGAAAGGGTTTTTGGAGCAGTGCCATAGAAGAACCAGTTTTGGTTCAATAAAGAACCTTTCAGTGCATGTTTTTATTTAATGATCTATAGCACTTATATGTCCAAGCCAAAAACTGTAGAGGAGGATTTGAAGGGTTTTGTCGCAAAATACATTATAGACAGCTTTCAGAAATTTTCTCTTTTTGTGATATACTTGGTATTAGTTATGGACTTTTTCTATGTTACTTTTTCTATTAGTTGTGAGCGTTTTCCATTGTACATCAGCTGTTAATCTTTTCAGAAAGTACGTGATTGCTGGATGCCATAGCTAGGGGTGAGCGTTTATTGATAGCGTAATTACTTACATCACAATGTCACTATGCAGCATGTTGTGGATGTTGTCAGAACACTGACCCAACTGTGTGTTTCATTACAATGAGAGCATACTCAGTCCTCTTTAACTTGCAGCACAGTATGTGAATAAAAAGGTTTACAGTTTTATGCAATTTGGGACCCCTGGTTAAATATACATATATCCTCTACAGAGAACACATACTTAATGCACAGTATTTGTTTGTTTAATTTGACATACTGGGGACTAAAATTAAAGTTATGGTACATTTTACATATTTTTTCCAAAATGTTAAACTTAAAATAAATAAAGACTGCACACTTAAATTTGCAGAAAATGTCATATTTAACTCTGTAGAGAATTTGACAGATTTTCACTTAGAACATCAAAAAATCTGTTCAAACCTTTGCATACAACTGTGTATTGACAGTTTTTTATCAGTATTTCTTAAAATGTGGAGGTAGTGGGGCTTTTTGTCTGATCAAATTTATCAAACTAATATTAAGATTCATGTAGTGTATCGAGAAAATGTCTTGTGAAAATGATTATGATATTATGTACTTTGCATATCGCCTACTGCAAGTCATAGCTTTGCTTTTCCCTTTTATTAATCGCTTTACGTGGCTGTGTTGTATGCACACACTAAAAGAAAGCGGTGCAGTGGCGTGTTCTCTCCCTCCGCTCTCTGGCTCTCTGGCCGTGGCTGAGGCGGCACCTTCATGCCCCTGGCGCTCTCGGCCTCCATTTTGATTTGAGAGTGAGGGTGAGATGGGTGCAGGCTGCCATGGGGCCGGCAGCTGCAGCACCATGCCTTAATGAACAGAACGTGGTGTCTGCCATTATTATTCTGCCCCACTCGCGTCTTCCCTCCCTCAGTGGAGGGCCCCCCCACCCATAAAGAATCTCGCCGTTCCCACCATTGTCAGGACTGGTACTTCTCCAGTGCTGCTTGAAGGGGGGCAGGGTGGGAAAGCCCGAAGCAGACCAGACACGACCAGATGCCAAAGACATGAGACTGTTATGCAGATCGGAGAGCTTTTGTGAGTGAGAGCGTATGGGTGTGTGTACATACGTGTGTGTGTGTACAGGAGCAGGCCATAGGCCACCTGATCATGTTAATTGGTCTTCGCGCTGCTAATGCTTGTCTGGCAAAGATGGAGATGTTGGTTGCGGTGGTCTGAGTGAAAGAGGCATGTGGCCCCTGTCCAACATACATAAAGTATGTTAGCTCTGTAGCAATGCATACATACACTACATCGGTAGTAACGTTTAACTGTGCTGTTACTGCTTATATGGCTGGCTGTATTTTACAGTAGAACTGAAACATTTTACCCCCTAAATTCTCTGGGACCTGTATGTTTTATGCCTGCATATAACATATATATTATTTTCATAGTAGTTACTGAATAGTTAGTAGTTGCTGAATAATAAGTCTTAATGTTACTAAGTCTGAATATTAGAAAGTTCTCCCAATTTGTTTAGATCTGCAGTACATTGATAAAAAATAAAAGTGTAGTGTTAAAATTGGAAATGAGAAAATCTTACAGTAATACTAGCAGTGACTTCTGCTCTAATGTTACCACAGATTTTCCAAAATTTCTGTATAATTAAATGGTTGAGATAAAGAAAGTCATTCATGGTGGTTTAATATGAAATGCTCCATTTCAGAGAAACCACAGAATTGTTCACAGTGGTGGTGATAGGAACCAGACATCTGAAGAGTTTAATGTCTGTAAAAGCTCCCACACAGAAAACCATTACATGAAGTGGTCACAAATATTCTGCCTGATGTCTGAAACACAAATTTACATCAGTTTTGAAAGAAGGTTTTGGTCTAAAATATGTGTATATATATTTGTAGAAAAGAGATAAATGTAGGGTGTTGTAAGGCAAAACAGGCCCAAATGAAATAATAATATTATTTTTCTGATTTACCACTATTTTATCATTGTCAACATTACATATAAAAACTTAGAAGACGCATGAAGGTTATGTATGGTTTATTTGAGTTTTAAACATCGTTACTCCTGGTTTCTATCACCACCACTGTAAAGAAATCTGAGTGGGCAAGTTTCTCTATAATGCACCATTTCATATCAGATCACTTTGAATTATTCGGTTTGCATCTCAACTATTGAAATATGGAGAAATGTTGAATAATCAGTGGAATTCCCCTTTACGTTATGATACATTGAACAGTGGCACCTTCTGCAGGTTTAACTCTTCAGAGCAAAGAGATCAACAAATAATGAGGCAGACAGAGAGACTGAGGAAGAAAGACTGACAGAAAATGAGGGAAAATGAGGGAACAAAGGGTCAGTACACACTAAAGGACAGACCTTGCTAGTGATCTAGTTGGCAAAAATAAATGATGGCCAAAAACAACAGGGCAGAGAAAGGTGCCAGAGAGGCTGAGGATGGAAGAGACAAGGAGGTTGGTGCGTTTGGAGATTGATCGGTTTAGAGGAGGAAGAAAGGGGGGGGGGCATGTGACATTGACAGGGAGATGAGGCGCCATGTTTAGTTGCTACCTTAAATAAGAGCGCTGTGCTGTGGCAGCAGCTTAGGAAAGCCTTGCTCTGCACTGTGGCCTGCAGGCTCACACCACAGACACTCAGCATGTGTGGGATCCAGGGAAGGTGGTCAGTATGTTTGTGTTGTAAGAGACGCCGCAGTCAACTGGCACAGGGGCCAAAAGTGTTGAGGTGAAATCTACAACAAATCCTCTGTGCACATTTTTAGTATGCAGTTTTTGGAACTATGTAAAAATGTGCATATATCAAAGCTTCATATAGTGACAAAAATGCCTGTTTGAATTTACATGATTAAAATGTGGCAAGTAGTCAGGCATAAATAAAAAGTGCTACACAATTCTTGCCAAAACAAACACATTTAAATAAAACAATTGTCTTGATGTTATTTGTTTTATTTGTGTGCAACCACTTGCCACATTTTAATAATCAATCATTTTTTCAGTGTTACTTCTTTTTTAGTTCACTTTCATTTGCAAAGTGCCACCCTTTACATTGTGTGAACATTTCTTGCCGAATCGACCTGTAAAAATGGTCTGAAATCGCTTAGAAAGTACGCTTAAGTTAAGCATGTTTTCAGAGATACAATTTTTTATAAAGTATGTTTTTAACAATGTATTGTTTTAATATCAAATCATTTTAATAAATGATACTACATTCAATGAGCGTGATTGCAATGACATATATGGGCTGCTACACAAAATATAGCATGGTAAAATATAGCTAGCTTAATTCAAGATCAGACACAGTTAGCTCAAATTTAGGTCAAGTGCCTGGGGGGTCAAACTGCAAGATTTCAGTCTTTGTGTGTCATTGGGCCACCACTGATAACTCCAGCATCTCCTTAATGAGGTACAGTAAATCCTTATTTCATTTTCTGCTTAGGAGTGAGAATAGCTTTACAAGTGATTGTTTGGGTGTTCACACTAGCCGTGTATTCTTCACGTGTGGACCCTATAGATTACTTGATTTCAATGCTCACAGCACTGTTTTCACAAATGCACACGCCCACATTAGTGCATTGTTTTTAGTTGTACATTTCTCTTAGAGCAAATCCTTAAAAGCTGTTTTATCATGAAGGAGACACTTCATTATAATTATATTGGAGGTCAGTGTTCGGGTCACATCAAGCCAAGGCCTTTGGTACTTGTAAGTACTGACAATACGGAGGATTCACCAGCTTTGGCAGGAGTATTAAACCGCCCTCATACGCCATTCAAAGCCTTGGATGACATCCAATGTAGGTCAGGCCTAATCTTTGTCTGTTAATGCAACTTTGGCCGAGACTAATCTATCACAAAGAATGTCTTAAGTATCTCCCAGGAAGACAGAGAAGTTCTTCCAGTTCGGGCTTTTCAGATTAAAGGCTGTCTGCATGAGGGACCCAGAGGCAGGGGTCCTCCACTAAGAGTGAAATGAGAGTAAGGAAGAATTAGAGCTGGCCAGAGCTGCTAATACAGCGCTACTGGATAATCACACAGGGGGTTATGGGAGGGGTGGGCTGGAGTGTGACCTGCATTTTTATCGTTAAGTTTCTTTTTCATTGTCTTTCCCTCTTAAAAAAGTTTATTTTATTCTTGATTTACTGCACGCAGTCTATTACACATATGTCAGTGGGTTTACTGTAAGCTCTGCTAATATTATTATGAGTGAAAGGGAATAAATATGTGTTATACTGCAGTTTTCACGACACATTTTATCAAGAGTTTTTTTCTGCTTGGAATTATAAAGAAATATGTGTAGTAAAATAGTGAAAGATTAGGAAAGAACATAAGAGAGAGTCTGATGCTAGTCCATAAGTCTAATTTAGTTTTGGGAGCCAAAAGAGGACTATTTTTGCCGGTTGAGAAAAAGGACCAGTATTTAAAAATGTGAATATGAAAAAATATTTTTAAAAATACATAAAAAATTAATAAAAATGTAAAAAAATGACAATATGAATACAGTGATTTTTATCCCATGTCTCACATATACCGCACTGCACTAAATCAAATTAAATAGGCATAATTATGTTCTCTTTTTAATAAAACTTGTAGTTGCTTATGTTACACACAGTATGCTCAGAAGAAAATATTGTGACGTGACATAACGTAACATATGACATAACTAAATATGTAAATATTAGATATTTTAAAATAGTATTATAAAGTGCTTTAAATTACATTCTATTCTGTTAATACTAAACTGCTGTATATATATGTATATATATGTATATATATAAATACAAAGACTTTCAGCGGTCAATCAAGTTCAAGTTCATTGCTGCAGAGGCATCTTGACTGGCCAGTCCCACACACACTCCTCTGTCTCTGTCTCTGTCTCAGTCTCTCTCTCTCTCTCTCTCAGTCAGAGCTGCTCACCCTCTGACCTGTGTGGAGGTTGCTATGGTAGGGAGGCTGGCTGCCTCAGTAATGTGGCTGTGAAAAGGCGGTGCTGTCAGGGCCGTCTCGAGATGTGTGCTTGTCCTCCGCAGCTGGGCACGGCCCGAGAGCCTGGGAATGTCAGAGCCTCGACTTCAGCAGACACCCCCCTCACTCACCCCCAGCACTGCTGCACCCCCACCTACACCACATAGCCCCCCCACAGCTCCAGTCTAGCCGTTGCCTCAGCCCACCGTCTGCAGCCATGCAGCCCCATTCAAACCCCCTGTACCCCAGTGTACCCTCAACATCCCACCAACTGCAGTGTAGAGCTTTAACATTAGAGTTCCAGCATCAACATATGTCACACACAAAGGGGAGAAGTATCCACTGTTGGTGTGTGTGCGCATACTTGTTTTCATACATTTTCAGGACAACCTTTGTAGAAACATCGGACAGTAGTATGGGTAACCTACAGTGTCAGGACCTATAACATAATCGTGACTTTGTAAAGTGCTTTTAAAAGCTACATACATTTTTTAACTAAAAGGTTCTTACTGGCCATATCAATCTCATTAATATCTCAGTAGTTTCTCTCAGAAAAAAATGAGATCAGATGGAAAGACAAAGGAGACTTTTCCTGACGTCTCCTGCTGCTCAGATATTTCTCATGACCAAAAGAGTTGTAATCTCACATGCCTTGAGGTTTAGTTGAAATCTCAATAAACATTGTGCTTAGATTTGCAGCTGAACTAAATCCAATACTTAAAGCCTTCTCAGATTAGATGCTGTGAGTAACTATTTTAATTTTTATCTGTGCATAAGTATCACACATCTTCTTTTTGTCTAATGCTGTTAGAATTTTAGGGGAATCACTATTACGTCTCCTGAACCATCAAAGGTCAGCAGTCAGATTTTCCTCTGGGTGGAGTAAGGGTTAGGATTTGGCTTACAGGGAGACTTAATAAAGTTTCTCCTTACCTATTCGTAGTGCCATATTGTCGCTGTCCAAGAAAAAAAACAGATTTTTTTCTGAATTGTATTCTTCTTTTGAATATCATTTGAACACAGCAATTTCAGATTGTATTAAAACTTATATTGTGTGAAATTAAATGAGTGAACCAATAGAAATGCTCCAAAGCTTATAAAAATAAAATCTCTTTACATTAATTTACATAAATGTTTTTGGTCTGTCCTGTACAGTTACCACTTTGGGGATTCTATTTATTCATTTTTTGGACAGTGCTGATGTAGGACATAATGTATGACCCCACATCAGTGTATGAAAACAAGTGTGTGTCTGTGAGTTTACGGGGTGTTGATTCACTTTGGAAATGTAAGGTGAATGTAGAGTAAGCACATTTGTGTTAATTGTAGGCGAGACACAAGACTTGAGACTAAGGCAGACAAGTCCATTTGTTTGTCTGTTCTTCTACACAGTTCTAGTTCTTCTTCTGCCTCGACTGCCGTACTCAATGTGTGTGTGTGTGTGTGTGTGTGTGTGTGTGTTTTCGGTTTCCATTCTAGTCCTGCACGCTGCTGGGAGGGGAGGGAGAAATAAAAGAGAAGCGATTTGCATAAGCTGCATGAAGTCCAAATAGTGAGCGTGGTGAAAAAATAGATATCAAAGAGCAGCAAAAAGACAAAAAGGACAAACCCTGCGTTGTGGAGACAGAGGAGAGAAAGGCGAAGCTTGCATGGGAGAGTGGGGTGAAATTGACAGAGAAAGAGTCTGATCTGCTCCCCTACGGTGATAAAAGGGATCAGATCCTCTGTGTATCATTTCCAAACTGTGAAAGAGTTGACACTCTATTTGCAAAGTCTCATTGTAAGAGAGAAAAGAAAGATTGATCGACCAGCCTTTATTTTGTGTTTGACTACCGAGAAATGTATGGACACATTAAACCACTATGATCATTACTCTGCTGCAGTTTTCATACATCGTCCACCCGCACACTCTTTTGTACAAATATGTTAAAGTTTATTAATCGTTCACTTGCAATTATTTCATAAAAGTGTAACTGCACACTTGTGGAGCTCTTGCTATTTAAATGTGTAATTATGTCTGTGAAGTGACCCAAACCTCACAGCTTTTTTTTTTGCTTTGCTTTGCAGACATGGCTGAGAACTTAAACTACACCCTTGTGAGATGGTGAGATGTTCAACTGCGGTAGGAGAGACCGGACAACCTCAGTGGGCTTTGCAGAAGATCTTCTCTTGGAAAGAAGAATTAAGCTTATATGGTGTAACATTTCAGTGAAGAGATGTCCTGCATGTGTTTGGCTCAGCTTTTAAAATGTTAATGAACTTTTCTGTCTCATTGTGCATGTGTGGAGTCACAGTCTGTAGGGCAGATGTGCTGAACGTGAGTTTTATTGCTGCAGCTTTGGGGTCTACCTACTGGACTGTAAATGTTCACTGTGGTATATTTTATATTTTGGAAATGACTGTACAAAATGTGCAATTCTTTCACTTGTTTTGGACTCAAGATCTGTGAATAAACATTTTAAATAAATCACTGTTGTCTTAATGGGTTCAGAGTTTTCCACACAGCCAATCAAATGTATGTTCTCTGTAAATATTGTGTGTCTGTGTTGGCACTAACCAGATAAACTGAACTTAAGTCAACATTAGTGTTAAAACTCGACAGTAGTCCAGTCGAACCTGCTCAAGTCCATCACATCAGCACCCTGGACAGCGGACTGGAGAGAGAGAGAGAGAGAGAGAGAGAGAGAGAGAGAGAGAGAGAGAGAGAGAGAGAGAAAGAGAGGGAGAGAGAGAGAGAGAGAGAGAGAGAGGGAGAGAGAGAGAGAGAGAGAGACTCTAAACAGATTAAACTTACAAAACTTCCAGCACAATGAAAAATATAAAGAAATTCATATACAGTACTTACTAAATACATTGTTACCACATATATTCGACAAAGCTGGTGTAGATTACATCGACGCTGAATGCAGCTGTAAGATAAATATACAGGTTTGTACGTTTGTAAGTTTGGTGGAAGCAGAAGAGTCTGTGTTTCGTTATTTTTGTGCTGTAAAAATTGATTCAGTGTTTTATTGTAAAAAGCAAGTAAGTAACTCCATTGCCCTAAAATGTTGAGTTCACTGGAATAAATTAACAGAATGTAAAACACGGATTATTCTGTTAACTCACTATTAGAAATCATTTTACAGTGTGTTTAATAAAAATTTGTTTGTTAAAAAAGCAAAGAAAGAAAGAAAGAAAGAAAGCATCAGCCCCGCGAGAGCACCGGGTTAATGGACATGTGTGAGACGAGAAACTGTGTGAAAGTGTGTGTCGCTGATTTGAGCTGTGAAAAAACAGAGGCTTTACTCAGACGTGAACACCGCCCCCCCCCCATTTAGTTTAGGATAGAAACTGACTTCAAACAAACACATGGCAGTAAGATAAAGATAAATACATACACACAATAGGCGTGTAAACGTTTTAAGGGCACCCGAGAAAATTAGGCTGGATATAAAAATAATTGTCCAGCGTTTCTGTCCTTAGAAGGAACCTAAAGTTTGAATAAATACAAATATATGAACACAATGAACACAATGAGAGGCGATGTTACGTGTATCGAAGTGGTGAATTTGAACAGATCCGGGTGGAATCTGGAACCGAGCCTGTGTTCTTCTGACTGGCTCTCAACATCTTAATAACAGCGTCTCAGCATCTCAACGTCTCAGCTACTGTTTTCTTGGAAACGAGAAAGTCTTGAGTTTTTTGTGCATTTATTCTGATTTAACAGTGTTTTTACAGGCAGAAACATATTTACTGCTGAGATCAATATAAAACTCAGGAGCCTATAAGCCCTTTGCGCAGTAGAGCTACTGTACATTTCTGCCTTGTAGATAGTCAGTGTTGGTAGATGAGCTTAAACCGAAGATTTGTTGCGTTGTTAAAAGGCTAATTTTAAACAACGAGAGTTCAGGAGAAGTAAAATAAATCCACAACGTTTTGTTTTAGGCCCATATTACATTTTGACCCCCTGCCGAATAAACAGACAACTATAAATAAATAAATAAATAAATATATAAGCAAGCAAGCCCGCTGCTTTAGGTAATTATAGTATATAGTTTCTAATATTATGGCTGTTTTTAATAGAGCCAATCTAATGCAAACTCTGAAAAATACAAATAAATAAATAAATAAATAAATGGAAATAAATGGTAGCACAGGTCTAGACTGCTCAATTATACAAACAGCCTCATCTCTGGATCACACAGACATGTCTATCACAGACAGGCCTGTTAGACTGTAGCTGTGCCCCACTGAAAGACCCTCACTCCACTGTGCTCACTCTGAGCTTCAGTGTTATTAAAATGGAGTTAAATTAAAGTATCTCATGAAACAACTTTATTTATATTATGTAGAATAATTCAATGTTACACTGTAAATAAATAAACAAATAAAGACATTTTAAAAACAATTGAGCAGATTTTGCTCTTCATTAAACCCCAGCAAAAACGGTCAGTGGCAATGACCTTGACTCCCTTGGGCCACTAAATGGACAGTTGATTGACCCTATTTGCCATTGACCCTGGGCTGAATGAAGCTGTAGGGACCAGTTGGTGGGGTGAGTGTCTCCCTTTGGCCAGTCCCCTAGAGAACAATAAAGCAGGCCAGCGGGGCCAGAGGTCAGAGCTGAAAACCACAGGTCAAGAACCACTAATTAAGAGCCATTTCCTTTTATTCCCTTGTGACTGCTAAAGTGGACGGTGGGCTGCCACCAATACGCAACCATCTTTTACAAGGCTCTTCAGTAAACATGCAGAGCGAGACTCCACTGAACTCTACTGATCTGTGGCTACAAGAAAATTGCTGTTTGTTTGCACTTCTTTTTTTCTTTTGCCTTTTTTTGATGTGTTTAACAGGGCGATTGTCAGCCCTTAGATTTCATGCCCATCTTCTTTTCCTGCTTCTTTAGTGAGTAGCTAGTCTGTTACGTCCAAACACTTTTTTCACAGCTTGTTAGGCCTCAAAGTCTTGCTTCAGTTTTGTCGGGATAGCTAAAGCCTCGCTCCATTTTGTAGCCAAAGAGTGCCTCTCTTCATGGCTCAGCCTCGGGGCCCTGAGTCGGAGGATGTAGGCTGTGTTATAGGTTAGCATAAGAATGGTGGCGGAGCTTGTGAACTGCCCTGACCTCCTGACCTCTCTCCCCGGCCATGAATAGCATCAGTCAGAGGCCGGCCAGGCTTTTCAGTCGCTGCAAGACGTGCCTGAGCTCCTAAGCATGCTGATTTAACGTATCCTCAGCAGCATGGCTGCTTTTGCACACACTCCCAATAGTTTGTTTAAGGCACCCCCCTAATACACGCACACACACACACACACACACACACACACACACACACACACACTCACACTCACACAAGCCCCTGAGCTAGAGGAAAATTAAGGGTCTGATCTAAGACAAGGGCCCATTCACTGGGAAGGCCATGTTTAGGCCAGTTTACTCTGCTTCTTTCTCCTGCTTTAGCAGAAAAGCTGAGGGGAAAAGTTGGTCTACAAAAGGCTGAACACGTAACAGTGTCTCTGTTCATTGTATTTCATAAAATACTCTGACAGCAACAGTGTCAGAGTATTTTGTCAACGTCTTGTTTCGTTCAATCATGAAAAGCATGAAAATACTGATTCTCAAATAAGTCGTCTGGCCAGTGTGATATGAGGAGTGCATGATCATGCTTTTAGTGCGTGGTGGGAACAAATGTACCCAAAGTGATATGAAAGCATCTTTATTAGGCTACAGTTTGATTATGTGTGATGAACAGCAGCTTATTGATGCCAGAATGAAGTCCAGCAATTCCAGAGTGATGTGCGTTAATATTCCGATTTTTCCCCAATTCCTATGCCCTGCATTACATTTCAGGAGAATATCCTAAATCTGAAAGACGTCTTATCATGCAGTGCAGATCTCACAGAAACAGAACTGGCAGTTGGAATATATGAGCTGCACAGCTACAGCTACAGTATTCAGGCCTAAATGTCCACTGTAGCTTCCCTCATCCGTGAGCAGGTGGTCAGTAGATAAATCACAACGAGTCTCTGAAAATACAAATGAGATCCCAAAATGATCAGCCCAAATTACTGTACACAAAAAGATGGTTCTCCAGGGGTTCTTTAGTAAAGGCAATGGATCTATTTAGAACCATGAGTTCTACACTCTTAAAAAGATGGTTCTTCATGGGTTCTTTAGTAAAGGCAATGGCTCAATATGGAACCATGAACATTCAATGAACCATTTGGGTTCTTTGCATGGTGAAATGGTTCTTCAGGTGGAGAATGTATACAGAAGTGTATACAGAAGCTTTCTGAAAATGGTTCTACATAGCACCAAAAAGGTTCTATGGTTACGATGTCAAGCTTGCGTTGTGTAATGTAGCGCCTTTTTAGTGCGATATAGAAGCATTTTGAAAAAGGTGTTATTATGGAAACTATATAGAACTCACGGTTCTATACAGAACAACCGTCTTTACCAAAGAACCCTTAAAGAACCATCTTTTTAAGTGTGCACATTCAAACTCAGACAGTCAGTACTGTGTCTAAGTCTATGCGGAGATGTTCTGCCGTAGCTACGCCGCCTGCTTTGGCCCCGAACCGATCATTACGTTAATTGCGCAGTTTGCGTTGTGTGATGTTGCCGGTTGTGCTCTGTCTCTCCTCGGGTCTTTACTTTACTCCAGCAAACAGAGGACTGAGAGCGTCTGCAGCTTCATCGACAAAAAGAAGGGCTTGTCAGGATAAATAAGGCTTATCAGACGAGTAGAAACACTGAACGTTTATTAGACAAAGGGCAGAACTGGAGTGTATATGTGAGAAATATCCGAGTAAAGCTGAAGCCCGTCCGGCTGTGCTCCTGCGTGGCGACGCTGCCCCCTGGCGGTGAGAACTAAGGAAGCTACTACCACACCTGCGCTGTAGGCCTGTTTGAAACATGTCAAACAATTAAAATGACTTTAATCTTTCACTTCTAGTCAATTTTTTTCTTTTGCTGAAAAAAAAACAACAACACGGAATCAGTTCTCATCATAAAGCGGGGCTTTGTTAACAGCGAGAGATGGACAAAATAACTCAATAGGATTTAAAACTGTCATATTTAAAAACACACATAATCTATTCCAAATTATCACACTGAATCAGCACACAAATAACAATAATAATAATAAATAATAATGTGAAAATAGTCTGGATTTGAGCGAACAGGGTGCAGTTTTACACAGTAATGTCAGTCACATCGTCCTGCCTACAGCCGCACTAAGACATAGGTCAAAGCGGTAACACAGCTCGTACGCGGTGCAAAAGTAGCTCTTTATGTTTTGGAGAATAATATTAAGAGGGTTTTTTTTATCTTTTACGAAGCTCAGTGTAAAAACAATCGACCCCGGCAGGACTCGAACCTGCAATCTTCTGATCCGAAGTCAGACGCCTTATCCATTAGGCCACGAGGCCGCTGGTAATGTGGGAAAATCATTGATATTTAAAGAACCACAAAGGGGTCCACTTCCTGGAGCAGCGCGGTCTGTGTGTTCATATGTGTTTTTTCAACGTCACCGCGTTCAGGCAGGCAGTATGACCGCTTCGGAAAATAGGACGATTTTAATGAAGCACAGACCACACTTGAGTTAACAGCTAGCTTTGGCTAACTATCCTGAAACTTTGTTTACTAAATTCTTTGTCTGCCTTAAACCTGCTAGAAAGCTCGCTATGAGGTCAAAATGCTTCATTATGAACATCAGCTCCATGTAAATTATCAGTCATCTTAACCGTTTACTAAACTGAGTCCTCCAACCCTGTGCCGGCCGTGTGGTGTCGCTGTGGAGAAAACAGAGTAGATTAATGGCCAAAGATCATATTTAGGGTAAACCAAGATGGTACATGCCTATTGAAGTGAACGGGGCGAAGAGGGGTTCAGTTCCTGTCTGCTTAAGTCTTGCGTCAACCACTCCGCCCCGCCCCCGTTTCCCGGGGCAACGGCAGCCGCCTATGCTGAAAGACTGAACAGCGGGCTGAACATACCCGAAACAAAACTGTTTTACCTTAAAATCAGGTCGTCTGAAAATTCGTGTTTGAGCTCAAAATACTCACAAGACCCTCACTTTTACAAAAGTGGCCAAAACTTCGCTGTAATCTTAAAGAGGGGGACATGATCTTTAATGTTTGATGAAATAGGCAGAATTCCCCGTTGGTTTGAATGGGGCTCGACTATCTGTTGTCTGCTTAACGGGAAATGAGTTCCCCCTCTCGCGCGCCAAAAGCACGTGACCGCGTTCCCGGAAATGTTTTGACATGGCGGTTCTCGGCTTCATCTGTTCTGTGGCCGAAGCCGAAGCTGGATCAGCCCCTCTTCCTGCGCTCTCAGCGTTAGCGAATCACAGACGCCGAGGGCGGCGCTCAGCAGTGTTTGGAAGATGTCTCCTCAGAGCGAAGACTGCGGACAACACGAGAGTGGGCCCCGATATGATGAGCAGAAAGTGCACCAGCGAGGAAGAAGAGTAACTGGTGTTTGAAAGGTGTGGTTAATTATATAAGTTGGAAAAGTTACCTAGCTACTTTAACCACACGCGGGTCTTCTGTCTATAGTAGCTTAGCTAACTGTAACTGTTAACGTCACTGTACTTTTGTTGCTGTGACTCTCCTCATTATCTGCCTCAACATGTGGATGTGGGTGAGTCTTAAGGCACCTCCACATTGTTCATGGTCGCTGTTTGGTGCTGCTGCTTTGAAGTTGACTGTGTGACAAAGTCTGTGCGCAGAATTAAGCAGTTAAGAGTAAGTTAAACTGCCTTGTTCAGATCCTTTGTGCACAATTGATCTCTAAATTGAAGTAGAGATACAAAACAGGGATGAGACTAATGAGTTATTGCTCTGCTCAAATCTGCTCATGTTCCCAAAAATGCTTTCATTTATTTGGCTGTGCTTGTGTGACTGCTGTGCCTTGTTTTCCAGGGTCTGCTGAGTATTTAATGAGTTGACTGTGAGCGCAGAGGGGAGATGCTCCGATTAGTGTCCCATCGGCCATGGCGGTGCTCCTCAGCTGCACTGTGGAGGAGATGGTGCACAGCCACAGCCGAAGCCAAGCTCCAGCAGAGCTCCAGAGAGACCCGCACGAACCCCCTCAACATCCAGATGCTCTCCAGGAACCTGCAGGAGCAGATCTTCCGTGGGTCAGAGCAGGAGTACTCAGAGGAGGATGTAGAGCGGAGCATTAGGCATTTGGAGGCGCATAAACTCTGGGGGAAAGAGGCAGCTCTGTTACCTGACGTGGAACTTAAATTGCCACAGATGTACGGTGATGACATTGATGGCCACTTTCGCATTCTGGCCCAGAAACAAAGTCTGCCGTATCTGGAGGCGGCCAGCCGGCTCCAGCAAACAAAACTCCCTCAGATGCCCCAAAAATGGGCTTGGGAAGTGGGCTGGACAGAGTACGGTTTGGATGGACAGTGCAGGAAGGTGGATTTCCCTGAAGAGAATGCTCTGGTTTTTGATGTGGAGGTCTGCATGGCTGAGGGTCACTGTCCCACCCTGGCAGTGGCTGTTTCTCCAACTGCCTGGTGAGAGACGGCGTCTAATACCTGCATTACACACACACACACACACACACACACACACACACACATTTTCTAAGCCGCTTATCCTTCTGGGTCATGGGGTACCTGCGTTACATAAATCTGTAAAGCAGGCTGAGGAGGCATGAGGATGTAAGAGATCACTACCTCTCTACATTTTACTGAACTTTGTTTAGAAAATGATAACTTTGAACAGTGTTTAGTTACATTATAAATCGTTCATGTTTAATAGTTCTCGCTCTGAAAGCATAGTGGAATTATCCACATTGGAGTTGTCACTTGCTAAAGTCTGGTGAAAGTAATCCAGTAATCAGCTGATTATTTTAATGATTAATTGAGGAATAGAAAAAAAGAGGCAAATAATAAAAATAGACTTAAATGAATTATAATAAAGCATGCAGAGTATTTCAAGAATTCAAAAATGCTTGGAAAAAGATAAACTAGGAAGCTTTTAATAAGGCTTTATTAAAGTAAACGCCCAAGCACTGTGTGGTAAAAATTCATATACATGGGTTTGTCCACCAGGCCCCGTTTTGAACTCTAAGAGACGCTGTTAGGAGAGATTAAAACGCGTATTACCATTGTGTAAATTACCAAGTAATTCTTAGTCATTGACAAGGTTGAGTAATCATTACATTAATAATCCAAGTACAAAAACAGGCGTTAACACGTTGAGTGTATTGTTTATTATTGTTTCTCTTTTCGTTTCTTTGTTCTAGGTACTCGTGGTGCAGTAAGCGTCTGGTTGAGGAGAGGTACACCTGGTCCAGTCAGCTTACGCTAGCAGACCTCATCCCGCTGGAGACTCCATCAAACTCCAGCAGGCCTAAGGATGGACTGTGGAAGGAAAGGCTCGTAGTGGGACACAATGTCAGCTTTGACCGAGCGCACATTAAAGAACAGTACCTACTGAAAGTACGCATTTGGGGATTCTGTATGCACTGCTTACCCTGGTTTATTTTTAACATTTAAGTATATCTTTCACAAACTGTACCAAACGTATCTGCAGTTCTTGGTCATTTTGAAATTCTGATGGTTTTGTGCATCAGAATTTACAATCCTCAATTGTTCACTCACCCTTTATGTAACAGTTCTTAGTTATTTGTAGATACACATTTCCTTTGTGTGTTGTTGCTGTTAATCAGGGCTCAAAGATGCGTTTCCTGGACACAATGAGCCTCCACATGGCTATCTCAGGCCTGACAGGTTTCCAGCGTTCCCTCTGGATGGCCAACAGGTATGGGAAGAGACGAGGCCTACATGAAGTCAAGGAACACATGAAGAAACTCGGTCGGCGGCCAGAGGGCCCAGCGGTCTGTATATATACAAACAGTTGTTATTGATTTTGCTCCAGCCCCAGTCACTGTATACCGAGTATTAATTGGGCATGTCTGCCGTATTATATACTGTATTTTAGACCTAGACAGGCTAGACAGAATCACTTTTAATATTATTAGTGTTATTTTATATACAAAAAGAATTTGTATGTGGAGTTCAGTCTTATTAATTAGAGATCAATTGATATTTTTAAATGTTTTATTCCGTATTTTAAAGTATTATTTACTTTAAATTGTGTGATGTAATTATTTATTTATAGTAATCTTTTCTCAGGTATTCAGATCATGGCTCGAAAAGGAGGCACTCTGCATGATAAATTTATTGTAATTTGCAAAGAATACTATAAAATTCTCGATGCTCAGCTTTCATAGTCATTTTAGAATTACCTACTGCTCTCTTCATCATTATGGATACATCTAAAATTTCCTAATTTTTTGCAAGCTGTGAAATTGTAGAGGACAAACAAACTGCATTAATTTCATACGTTTATCTGAAACCAATTGGTTTTATGTTATTAAATATCATAATTGATTAAAAATCTTTGAATGGTAATGCACGTCATAATGTTTAAAAGTCTTGATGAATATGTTTAATGTGAATCATCACATGAAATGACGCATGATCTGTTTGTGTTGTTGATAGATTGACTGTTGGGACTGGGTTAACATCAGCAGTATTAATAACTTGGCTGATGTTCATGCTCTCTATGTTGGAGGGGATCCCCTGGAGAAAGAGCCCAGGGATATTTTTGTGAAGGGCAGCATGAGTGATGTCAGGAACAATTTCCAGGTAAGTGAAAGAGCCACAGTTTATAAAGTCAGAGGTATAGACACGCACACATACTCCTTTAGATCACAGATCACAAAAGTACTTTTATGACATTCAGTTTTTTTTTTTTAGGAGCTGATGCAGTATTGTGCTACAGATGTACTTGCCACTCATGAGGTCTTCACCGAGCAGCTGTCTCTCTTCATGGAGCGGTAACAATACACCACATATAGGCTATTCTGTCCATACCCTGCCCACCGAATCAACTCTTGCAGTTTAACCTGTTAAACAACTCTGCATTCATTTCTGTGTTCTGTGTGTCTCATGTATTTCCGTAGGTGTCCTCATCCAGTGACGTTTGCAGGGATGCTGGAGATGGGTGTCTGCTATTTGCCTGTCAACCAGAGCTGGGGTCGGTATTTGGAGGATTCCCAGGACACATTCGAGGAGCTGCAGAGAGAGATGAAGAAATCTCTGATGATTCTGGCAGATGATGCTTGCCAGTTACTGCAGGATGACAGGTGAACATGCACAAAGGACTGGACTACTGAATAGTTCTCATTTGTGCTATAGAAAGTTATTAGCTGAACCTCATAGGCAAACATTTGAAAACCTTCATACTAGGGGTGGGCAATATGGCCAAAAAATAATATCACAAGGCATAGAGACATTTTCACATTATACGATATGCATTACGATATTCCATATATTTTTTTTCAGACGTTTGTTGTTGAGTTGGAACAGACTAAATCATACCAGAAGGGCCACATTTAAAAATTACTATCAAAAACTATGAATACAATGATTTTAGAGTGTGGATACAAGAGGGTGTAATTAATGAAGTGGCCAGTTGGTGTAGTTTATGCAAGTAATATCCTGAACTTATGGAAAGGAAGACCACCATTGTACACAATCATATGTAAAATTTAAACACCCCCAGTCCAGTTACATGTTTGGTTGATTTTCTAAATGAATGTGAGTACACATCCTCTACATCTGCACATTTTAATGCACAATTACTGTTTACTTGTTAAATTTAATAAAAATAAAATGTGGCATGTGTAAGGGCTCATTTTATATTTTATCATTTTCCTATATGTTAATCTCAGCAAATAAAAAGAAATAATGCACTAATATGAGCAGAAAACGCTCTATTAGAGTTTGTTTCCCTGTAAAGGATATCAACGTGTTTTCACTTAGAAAATCAACTAAACGTCATTTGACTTGGGGTGTTCAAACTTTTGCATACAACTGTACATGAAGATTTTAATTTCAAAATGTTGTAAATCTGTTTTTATTATTGAAACTGTAGTATGTAAAGATAAGTTAAAAAGATGATCTGTGGTGTCTAGCTTAAAATATTTTGATCTACACTGCAGATTAAAGTTATTATTAAATAAAATGATTAATGTGACAAGTGATTCCAAACTTTTGAACACTTGTGTTGCCTGTATGTATTTTTTAATAATTAATGCATTCTGGATGGTATTTCATGATTAGATACAAAGAAGACCCATGGCTGTGGGATTTAGAGTGGGATGTTCAGGAGTTCAAGCAGAAGAAAATACCCATGAGCAAAAGAAAGAAAGCCAAGCAAGAGGCCGAGAAAGCAGCAACAGCTTCCAAAAGAGAAAGTCCAGAGAAAGACTGGAATGAAGGTAAAACATGCCGTTGATGAAGTACAGATGATCCAAGCATTGAAAACTCTGGTCCATTTTTTTTCTTTTATTCTTATAAATTAATGAGAATAATTCTAATATGTAGATAAATAACATTGATCATTAATGAATAAAGAATTTCTCAGCATTTGCTCTAAATCACTTTGCATAAAAGATAAATGTTAAATGGCTACAGATCCGGGACCCCCAGAGGAGGAGGAGCAGGGGAGGCCGGACCCAAGCAGAGAGCTTGTGGAGCGGCTAAAGGGGACAGTGAGCTGCCTCCCCAAGAGGAGGCAGCACATGCCAGGATACCCAGGGTGAGCACTGCTTGTGTAATGCTAGGGTTGCAGAGAAAGCCATTCAAGAAGTAAATGAATTTGCTCTTCCGCTGTTCTCAGCTGGTATCGGAAGCTGTGTGCACGGATGTCAGAGAAAGAGGATGAGCCTTGGTCTCCTGGAGCCAGTCTCATTAGTCTTCAGATGAGGGTTACACCCAAGCTGATGGGCCTGACCTGGGATGGCTTTCCCTTGCACTACACAGAAAAGCACGGCTGGGGGTACCTGGTCCCAGGCCGCAAAGACAACTTGGACATCACAGAGGACACTGAGGGAACCTGTGTGCCCCCATAGGTAAGATGAAACTGGACTGATAACAACAGTCACAGGGATGGTGGCTTTAGAAATTTGTACACTTTTCTGTGCAAAAAGTCCCACCCACAGTGTTTGATGGGCAGGTATGCCGAAGACAATCAAAATGCAATTACAAACAAAATGTAAAAGTATTTCACAGAGCAGGAATGTGACAATGAAGGAGTCCAGTCACAAATGTATTGCCATTACTTTTTTCATAGAGCAGAATCATATGTGCATTTTGCATTTGCATTTTGCAGTTGATTTTGCATTACATCTCAAATTACATCTCAAAATATCGCTTTGATATGAAATGCAACTGCAAATACATGGTTAAATTAGCACTTTCTAATTTGTACTTGAATCATAATAAAATTAAGAAAGTACAAAAAGATGTAAAATACAGAGAGTGGAGTTTTAGGTATTAAGAATGTATTGAGTTATTTCCCAGTATGATTTTGTTTTTGAGTTCTTGGTACTGGTGTGTTCAGAGCAATAGAGACAATCTACAGAGAGTATTGTGATCAGAAAGGAAAAGAACAGCCACAGTGTCTCAGCAGCTCACCCTCGGATGACCTCATGCTGACCGACAACAGTGTCTGGCAAACGGTAAGAAACTTACTTGTTTACAGTTTTCCTTTTGTGTTAGCAGAGTGTTGTGAAGGCACATTATTAGTAATGGTTATTAAAGTTTTGTATTACATGAAAATGCTCCAATTTTTTTCAGTTGTCACACTGTTGTTTTAAACATTTTTTGGGGGAGAAATAGACAAGATGTAAAATACCTCCCATAGATTTCCACAGGGCTTCAACCAAGAGAACAAAACTGTTTTTAGGAACCTTAACATATGAGTTATGTGGAGACACAGTGCTCTCCAGGCCATGGTTAACCTTGCAACATTTAAGTTAACCTGTATGTTTGATTCATTTCTTAAATAAATGGTTCGGCAAAAAAGTCAAATTTACACAGTATTCCACTTACCCCAGATGTAATCAATCAGCCAAGACATGTTTGTTGTTCAAATTTAGCTTCATTAGTTCAGCACTTGAGCTGCAGGGCTAATGTTGCTAAAAACACTAGAAGTCAACAGTCATCCAAATCTTTTACATTAATTACATCACTAAGAGCGCTTTCACATCTACCTCTTTTGGTGTGGACCTATCTAACTTTTTCTTTAGTTTGGTGCATTTTGACAGGTGTGAACATCTCACTCTTGGGTCCGCACTGAACAAATGAAATCATGTTCAGTCTTGGACCACTTCCAGGTGAACCCAGGTTCAGTTCGATGCTGGTGGGAACGCATTTCTGTGATGGTCTGCAGCAAATGAGTGAATTGAACATTGTAGCATGATTTCCTGCTTCTTCAGTGCTGTACTGTCTGTATAATCTGCCTATTTTAATGTCTGACAGATGCTCATATCATTCCTACAGTGTGAGCTGCAAAACAGATGTTAAGCATCTTTATTTTCATGTGAACTGGGAGTTTTTCTTGCCTAAAATGGGGGCAAATTTTCAGTGCAGAATTTCATTTGCAGTGTGAAACCAACTGAAACCAAATGAAAAAGATACAGTGTCACAAAAAATCCTAACTCTGCTTTGGACTTTAGCAAACTAGGTATGGAAACAGCCTGAAACTTCAGCCGCAGCCAGGTCTTCATTTAGGTTGTGCGGACTTGTCTGTGTGGTTTAGGACCCAATATCACTTATAAAAATGAACAAAACTTTTACATCATGTTTTTACATCAAAGTGTGTCCTGCAGGGGAGTCAGAATACAACACAAAACCTGTTGTCTAAAATGACTGCACAAATTCATGGCCACATGATCAAGATTTGTTCATTTTTATATTTCAAAGTAGGTAAAACTGTCCCAGAGTGTGCATGACCTTAATGAAGACTTGAATGTGGTTTGAGTGGGTTGAGAGAAGTTTTGAAGATGTATTTACAGAAAAGATGATGGGTGACTGTTGACTTCAAGTCTTTGTAAACATTAGCCTCATAGCTTCAGTGCTAAACTAAAGAAGCAAAAATTGGACACCAAACATATCTTGGCTGATTGACATCTGGGATCAGTGGAAAATTGAGTAAATGCTTTGACAAACCATCCCTTTAATGTTTCTTATATAGTCGAATTTCGTATGGGCTGCAATGGCAGTATGTGTGTGTGTGTGTGTGTGTGTGTGTGTGTGCGTGTGCGTGTGCGTGTGCGCGCACTTGTGTGTGGTGTCCTCTAGGTGGAGGAGTTGAGTTTGCTGGAGGCCGTGTCTGATGATGAGGCAGTGCCTAGAACAGTGAGATCCAGAAAGACCCAGGTACATTCATTTCAGCTAATTTGACAAGTTGCTGCGAACACTGGAAATGGGGAAAAAAAAACTCATCTGAATTTTTTTCTCCTCGCTGGACTTCAATGGTTCTGTCCATCAGGTATTGTATGATTTGGAAACAGGCGAAAGTGAGTGTCCATATCACCATGGTAACGGACCATACAGTGATGTGAACATCCCTGGATGTTGGTTCTTTAAGTTACCTCATAAGGTGCATTAAAACTCTTCCCCTTTATCACATTTCTTTATATGAATTAACAGTTTAACAGTGTGCATAGTGTTCAGAATGATTTTACCAGTGCTTTTATATGTCAGGATGGGAATGAGAATAATGTGGGCAGCCCCTTCTCTAAAGACTTCCTATCTAAAATGGAGGACGGGACCCTTCAGGCCGGACGAGGAGGAACTAATGCAACGCGGGCTCTGGAGATTAACAAGATGATCTCATTTTGGAGAAATGCCCAGAAACGCATCAGGTGCCCTTGCCTCAGTGTTTTTCCAGTAATGATCTTGTGAAATGCCCCGTGATATTGACTTTGGCCTTATTGAGCAGGCTTGTCATTGATTCTTTGGAAATAACTTGTTTTTGGCCATCTCTCTGTGTAGTTCTCAGATGGTTGTCTGGCTTCGTAAGGGGGAACTTCCTCGCACTGTTAGCAGGTATTGCAGGGTTACTGTACACCGTCCACTAGTAACATTGTGGTCACTCTACTGAAAACCTTTAAATCACCTTTTCTCTTCTACTTTACAACAGACATGATGACTATGATGAGGAGGGGCAGTATGGTGCCATCCTACCGCAGGTTATCACTGCTGGAACGGTCACCCGCAGAGCTGTGGAGCCAACATGGCTGACTGCCAGTAATGCACGGGTAAGTGAAGTAAGAGGAGCAAGTTCATCCTCACCCAAACACTGTAGAATCTTTTCTGCTCTACAGTTAAGCAGATTCCATTATCACAACACCACATTTGCCACCATATCACAACACCACATTTAATATCTTATCATAATGAAAGTCTGAAGTCTAAATTTAAAAATGCATCATAGCTTCCATATCAGAATTACTGAAAGAAGACCAGATTCCTATGTTGTGCTGTCAGTGAAACTAAGATTTTGTGTGTAAAACACTGTTCAGGTATGTGTATGTGTTTGCAGCGGGATCGTGTGGGCAGTGAACTGAAAGCTATGGTGCAGGTGCCTCCTGGGTACCACCTGGTGGGGGCGGATGTTGACTCTCAGGAGCTGTGGATTGCTGCTGTGCTGGGAGAGTCTCACTTTGCTGGCATGCATGGTGAGCCTAGGTGCCAGATTGATTTGCTTCTCAAGCCCTATTAGAGCCAAAGACTTTATTCAACTGCCAAGTGCTTCAATCAGCTACTTGTCAATATGTTAAAATATTATTTGTAGAAATCAGATTTTCTCCAGATCAGCATTTCCTTTGAAGCTGTAGATAGGCTTGGCGTCACCCCAAGGTGTAGCAAAAGACAAGTCTCGAGGTTGTGTTCAAGCATCTCTGAAAGTCTTTTTACAGTATCACTTCTGATAGCAACATACAGTGTTAGGAACTGTGTTACACTGCTGGCTTGTTCCTATCAGGCTGCACAGCATTTGGATGGATGACCCTACAGGGGAAAAAGAGTCAGGGAACTGACCTTCATAGCCGCACCGCAGACACTGTGGGCATCAGCCGCGAACACGCCAAAGTCTTCAACTACGGCCGGATATACGGGGCTGGCCAGCCTTTCGCTGAACGCCTGCTCATGCAATTCAACCACCGGCTCAGCCAACCTGAGGCAGCCGGTAAAGCCAAGCAGATGTATGCACTGACAAAAGGACTGCGTAGGTGCGGCAGCTGGACATTGAGATCTTACTAGTAAAGTGACATTTTGATGGGTAAAATAATGTATTAATTGTCAACACAGGTATCATCTCTCTGAGGAGGGGGAGTGGCTGGTTAAGAAACTAGGTCTGAATGTGGAGAGGGACGAAGACGGCACTGTCTCGAGAGAGGAATTACGCAGGATTTCTAAACTGGCTGGCCAAAGGTTAGTTTACTGTCCCAGAACATACATCACAATTGCTGGCACCCTTGCATTTAGTACTTTGTGCAACCTAACTTTGCCAACATAACAACAATGAGTCTTCTCCTATAATGCTTCATGAGATTGGAGAAAACAGATTAAGGAATCTGAGAGCACTCCAGATTTCCAGTCTTAAGTCTTCTGTTCTTGACTCTTCTCTCCAGTTCATCCTACAGGTTTTCAGTGAGGTCATGGAACTGGCATAGCCATGTCTACAGCTTGATTCTGTGTTTTTTTTGTTTTGTTTTGTTTTTTTACCATTTTTGTGAATTTGTATGTTTTGGTTCATTGTCCTGTGCGAAGATCCAAACACAACATAGTTTTAGCTCTTTAGCAGAAACACTCAGATTTTCATTTAGAGATTCTTGTTTCTTCATGGGGGCCACGATGCCCTGTTAAATTTAGATTAAATTTGTTTCAATTAAAAGCCAGATTTTTTTTTTTCATATTTTCAGTGTGAGATTGTGGTTAATTAGCCAAAGACATTTATTCATTACCTATTTTACCCTTCTTTACCATGGGTACCAATAATTACAGAACTGTACTTGTTCAAGAGTAAAAGCTGCTGGTTTAATGTGGCGAATGTCCTGTTCCTGTAGTTCTCGGAATAATAGGAGGTGGGATGTGGCAGGCCGCCGAGTGTGGGCTGGAGGCACAGAGTCCGAGATGTTCAACAAGCTGGAGAGCATCGCTCACTCAGAGCAGCCTGCCACCCCTGTGCTGGGCTGCAGGATCTCCAGAGCCTTAGAACCTGCTGCTGTCCAAGAAGAGGTGCTGCCATTTTCAAAACTCGGGAAGCCTTTCTGAATTTCACCACTTCTGTTTAACTCATCCATGTAGTGTTGCTCTGAATCAAAACTCCTATGGCTGTTATTCAAGGACAGTAATATGTACACAAGTGTCCCATTAAACATATATTTTATATAAACACATTAAACAAAAATCATGTATTTTATCCTTTGGGTTTTAATTATTACTCGTTGCTGTACTTCCAGTTTATCACCAGCAGGGTGAACTGGGTTGTTCAGAGTTCAGCAGTGGACTACTTGCACCTGATTCTGGTGGCCATGAGGTGGCTGCTGGAGGAGTACGACATTGACGGGCGCTTCTGTATCAGTATTCACGATGAAGTGCGCTACCTGGTTAAAAGTGAGGATAGCTACAGAGCAGCACTCGCTCTGCAGATCACTAACCTGCTCACCCGGTTAGTACTATGTTTATTAAATGTTCAGACTATCTTCTGGTTTTGTTTTGGTCTAACTTATTTTTTTAGATGTTTAATTGTACATTTTAATGGATTAAGCAATACTGCATGTACAGCACTGTGCAAAAGTCAACAAACATCCTTCATTTATGTAACTTTTAGTAAAGCATCTGTTGAGTGTAAGTTATTCATTGTTCAGGAGTTATTTCTGAGGAGATTAAATACAAGATAATCCACTTGCATAAGGAAAGGGAAAGTTGCATGAAAATAAGTGTAAAAATGATTAAAAGAGAAAAAATAGCACTCCTAACAACCATGCAGTACTTCAAAGAAAATCTGCTCCACTCTCGCTTCTGAAAAATCCACAGGTGTTTCTGTCCATCCTTCTCCTTTTATTTCCATTAAGTTACAGGACAAGGAAAAATGTTCTTAACGTTACCTTTTTGGAGATGAAAGGTTTTGTTCCAACAGCAACGGTAGTTGTTTAGGCTTCTGTTTAATTTTCTGTGTAATTTATTATTCTTGCCTTTTTTGTGATGCAGGAAAAACAAAGAATAACTTGTATTTAATGGCTGTTTGGACTAGAAATTACATGAATGAAGGCTAGTTTCTGACTTTTAACAGCACTGTGTGGAAGGTGCTATACAGTATCATGTTCTTCATTAGACATGCTTATTATAGTTACTTGTCCTATACTGTTTATTAACCCCTTTTCATGTATTCTTAGATGTATGTTTGCCTATAAATTGGGCATGAAGGATCTCCCGCAGTCTGTGGCTTTCTTCAGTGCAGTAGACATTGACAAATGCTTGAGGAAGGAGGTCACCATGGACTGTATGACCCCATCTAACCCCACTGGACTTGGGCGCCGTTATGGACTACCACAAGGTGAGTGAGTGTAGGCTAGAAGACAACAGTAAAAGATGTAGCTGTACTTGTATATGTAGGAATACAGAAAAATACTACTGTAAGGTGAGACATCCATTTTTTTTAAGTGTAACAGATTTAAGAAATATGTCCTACCTTTTTCAGATTTTACCTTACCTTCATCAGATAGTCATTTTGAAATTCATTATACACAGTAATACCCTTTACAATTGCTAGGAGTTTTGTCTTTTAATTCCTCTGTTTTGAATGAAAAGAGTGATGTAAACAATACATGTATTGGAAAGCAAAGCTTAAGTAGAGAAAGTAGGAATATGAGGAGCCCCTAAATTTAAATTGTATGAAAATAAGGATGAATAAAAAAAGTATACAGAACTGTATTAAACTAACATTATACAAATAAATACATGAATTCTGAACTTTCCAATTTTTGGAAATCAACAAAATGTTTTATATATATTTTTTATCAACAGGTGAAGCCTTGGATATTTATCAGTTAATCGAGATTACCAAAGGTTGTTTAGCCAAAGGAGGATAGCCAGCTCAAACAGCCTTCAAATAAGTGGAGGACAACTGGCTGATAGGGAAACATCAAAAAAACAAACCCAAGAAACATGTCATGAGTGCGTTATGGAGGATCAGAAAGAGAGTCCAAAATTTCACAGCTTTCTTCTCTTCTTCTTGGGGGCCTGACTCTCCTCAGAAACTTGAGAGGCCTCAGTCTGAGGGAATAACAGGAGAGTTTCATCATTAGGATAAACCAGAGCTGCAGTTCAACAGGGTTTACACTGATTTGAAGAAAAGAAAGAAAAGATTATTCTTTCTGTTGATTTCTTTTGATAGCTTGATAACTGTCACCTTAACTGTTAGGTTGGGCGTTGTGTTCCTATTTCTAAACTCTTTCCTTTTAGAAGAGTGTCAGAGTATCCTTTTTAAGGACTTATTTTGTTGTATTTGTTAATAATTTGCATAATCAACTTTATTCATACATAAACCTGACACAGACTGCTCTGAAACAGAATGTTCTGGAGTGTGGTTATTGGCATTAGATAAACTGCAGAGTAAAGGGAAACAAACCTGCTGGCTCTCCTGCTGCTGCTCTTGCAGGGCAGCCTCGAGCGTGGCAGCATTGATCCGGAAATCTCTTGAAGTGCTCAGCTTCATGTACTGCATCAAATTCACCTGAGGAAAATGTCACAGCACAGTGGGTTAATCATTGCTGTTTAGTACTCTTTACTGTTACTGTGTAGTAATCCTTTATGTAAGGTCTGTCATAGATATCCTTTTACCTTTGATTTCTTGGAGAGAAGAATTAAAAACTTCTCATACTGCTCGATATTGAAGATCAGGGTGGGGATTGCTTTGGTCTCACGAAGAACCTTGGCCTAAAGGAATATAGGTATGAAAAATGACTGAATCAGAGTTGTACAGGTCATATATAAACCCGCAAAAACTGGAGTAGGTGTTCTTACCGATGCAGCCATAACAGCTTCCTCTTCTTTCCTTTTTTTCTTCTTGTCATTTGCTCCTACACTGGCCTCACCACTCTGTAAATAATACAGCACATCAACAGAACTGGGAGTGGGGGGAAAAACACAGGATGCATAGCACCTAGGCAAAAAGGAGGCAGATGAAAAGAACCTTACCTGTACATAGGTGATGAAACAGTAGCACTGAGGAGTGAGATGAGAGCCTGACAGCTTCACCTGCACACACAGACCAGTCATGCATTCAACAGCTAAATAAAAGTTGCAGTCATATGTGCAAGACTGCCATTTCTGTTTTTGATAAACATTTAACATTAACTAGAGTGAATCCAAGTAAACTGCCCCTTATCCTCTAAGACAACTCTTCGAAGAGGGATCTTCTCACCAGTTTCTCCAGTCGAACAGGCAGTTGGCCAGGATGAGTTGCACACACCTGAATATACTGCAGCCGGAAAAGAAAAATTAAACTAGACAAATTCCCAGCAACACGTCTGTCACACATTTGTGTTACATCACTCATGGTGTATAAGAGACAAAGAACTGCAGTCTGATGCACAAATTATAAAAATGATTTGGAGGAATCAATGAAACCCACAGATGAGGGCAACTGTCTACAATGTAAAGATGCAGCTCAAACATCTTGAAAGAAGGGTCTGCATAAGCAAGTGAAAGTCGAACCTCACCCATACTCGCGCCTGTGGTTCAACCCAACTAGGCCTGAGTGACAGTCCTAAATTTGAAACCTGAACTGGAAAGTCAGTCTCATTACATACATCCCCCTATTTAACCTGTTACAAAGACTGTTTCAGCTTGTACTGCGTTTTGAATGAGGCACAGTAGAAAGCAGCCAATTAGAACAGAAGTAGTGTACATATCAGTCTTAAAGGCACAGTAATGAAAACAGCCTCTTTAATTCTAAAGGATAAACAGAGGTTAGAAAGTGGTCATGTAAAAATGAATAATTACCAGTCCACAAAAATGTTGTTATAAACAACAGATGTAATAAAATTCAAGAATGCAGGTTATGAGTACTTTAATATTTTGTATTCAGGCTGTACTTTGAAGGCATTCCCTTTGCCCTTTGATTTGCTAAGGTAAAAAGTTGACTCAGGTGTGCTGGGCACAAATGAAAACAAGGAAACCCCAGGAACAGAACTGGCGAATACTGTTGTAGACTATATTGTAAAGAATCATTTCGGGCAAGATTAATATTTTAGAACAGTATGTGAAAACCGTTGATTTGAGTCTTAGAAGTGTTTGGACTTTCCGTTGGGCTTGTGTATTTCTCTGTGTGGCTCTCACGTATTTGATGAGGGTGGTGAGGATGGCATAGGTTCGGCTGAGTTCTCGCAGCAGAGTGTCTGTGCAGGCTCCAGCGGGAAGGGCTGTCTGCACCAGCTCATTCAGAGCCGTCAGCAGAGTCCCCAACTGCAGAGTCACTGCTTTCTCCACAGGGTCCTGCTGACCTGCCGACTGAGTGGCACCTCCTGAGACAGACATACACACACATCCCCCTAACTGCACTGCCTACAATACAAAAATAATACCACCCAGAACATTTTGCTTGTACAAAAAATTGGAAGAAAAACAAAGAATATTTTCCATTTAGTGAATTGTTCTAGGAAAGCTTAGTTTCCCTATACAGACACAAAGGGCATGGCCCAGTGCAGGCACCTGTGTATGTTAGCATATGTATGTGTATGTTAGAGTAGTACCTGAGGTCGTCCTTTCAGAAGTTGATCGGCCTTTCTTCTTGGCAATTAGCCAGTCCACCTCATCCAATACCTTTCCCACCTGGGACAAGACCAACAGCTAGAGAAATAAAGAATGAGAATAAAGACTTAATTAACCTGAACCTTTCACTTTAGTAACGCACGATTCATGCAGTCCTGGTTCATAAATGAGTCAATAGGATGTAACATAGTCTATTATCCAGTTTCAAAGTTCCACATTTTTGCTCTATGCCAGTTCACCAGTTCACAACATAATAGGTTAGAATAAAGTGAACAGACTTATAGGAAAGTCTGTTCATTCAGCAGCCGTCCAGTCATACAAGACCAGCCTACCTCTTTGAATAGGGAGAGACCTAAAAATTCCAAATTGAAAGTCACATTAATGTTTCAAAAACATGTTTAAAATCAGACAAAATAGGCATAAAGAGTTGGTAGCATTTGGCACAAATAATACAAACAAAAAAAAAGTTTTTCAGGTTGTTCTGTCTGCTACACATGCATATTTCTCAACAAACAAGGGGGGGTTCTTTAGTTCGCAGCTTTACCAACAAGCCAACTGGCTCTTTTTATTGAAGGGGGGGGGGCTTTCCACATAAACAGATGTCAGTGAGTGTTCCAGGCTTTCCTTTTCATTTTTCAACCAGTGAACTGCCTCCTCCTTTATGTCTCTGGTTACAGCCAAAATGTGGAACCATCTAGTGAGCCCCATAGACTGGGTGGAGAATACTGTTTTATGGACTTTGACAAACGGCCTTAGGGAACTCACTGTGGTGGATGCTGCTGTCTTTGTGCTGACGATGGCAAAATGAGACTGCTTCTCCACCTCCACATCCTACTCAGAGAGAGAGAGAGATAGAGAGGGAAACAGGTTTGGACAGCAACTCATAAAGCTGATAAAGCTTCTTCTCTGCTGCTATAGGATGTCTATTCTGCCAGACAGAATGTGCAGAGTATGCAAGTAACATAAACTAAGTTCTTTCTTCAGAATTTTTTGGCCATTATGACTTGGCAAATGCAAACGGTGTTTGCATTATGTGCTTGCCAAGTTATTAACGGTGCTGGCCATTAACACTTATCTTACCATGATTACTGTACTCACGCTCAGCTAAACGCAAGTTTAACTTCGTAATCCATTATGTCACACAGAATCAAAGTCCAACCTCTGCAAGAAAATAAAAGCTTAACTGATGCCATGAGGTAGCTTACATTGCCATGGCTTTGGCACTGTCAATCACTGTGCGGTCTGAAATGAAGAGTTTTTCTAACTTTCAACTCCATTTGAATTTGAAAAATGATTATGGCTTGGGTTATATTTTATTTTTCCAAATCTGATTTTTGTGCATGATCAAGTCACATATCTAGGTAATTTGCAATAAAGCTGACAGCCCCTTTACTGTGGGTAGTGTTTGTGTGTTATGTAATACCTGGTCTATGTCTCCAAGCACACTGTGGATGTCCTGACACAGCTCCCACAGTACAGACACAGGGCTTTTGTAAAGGACATGCAGACCGAAAAGCAGAGACAGCAGACCCTTGCTGAAAGAAATATCCTCTGAAAAAGAAAGACAGGAAATACAATCACATAAATATAAGAGAGATGTGAGCTTTAAGCTATAAGCAGCTGATAAAGCTGCTTCTGCTCTGCTGCACTGTTACAGGATGTCTATTCTGCCAGGCAGAGTGTGCAAGTAACATAAATTAAGGTCTTTCTTCATAATGTTTTGGCTAGTATGACTTGGCAATGAAGAGTAGGAGAGAGCATGGCTTACCAAAGCTGGTTTCTTTGCAGATTTTGACTGTCCATGTAATCATTTGGACAAACTGTCAAAGTAGTAGAAGACATTTTGTAATTAAAGACATATTCATAAAATGCACCATTATGACAGAACTGAGAGTAAATGTGTGAAAGATTACCTGTTGGGAAGAGGGCTCCAGCAGGCGTGAGAGTAGACTGAGGATGCTGACCAGCAGCTGAGCCTCTCTGCTGTTAAAATCCTCCTCTCCTCCGGTCAACTGAGTGAACAGTACTCGCTGTACACCATAACAAACCCACAGATATTACATACAGATTCTAAACTTTTCAAAAATCACATTTGTTTTCATAAGAAGAAGAGAAACGTATTAAGATTTGAATTTGACAAAAAGTTTGTTGCACATTGTCTTATTTTTAAGGAAAATCAAAACAGGCTTTTGCAGTGTTTGCCACTTCCCGTCATCAAAACAACAAAAGCACAGAAGTGCACATTCAAACCTGCCAATAAATAATGTAAATCAATGTGTTATTTATTATGTAGCCAATCACATAACTATTCAAACAATAAACTTTGCAGGGTTAATTTCCTCTCCAAACTGATCTCTGATGTTTCAAAACAACAGCTCTATACTGCTCAAATGTTTTTATCTCTTACAAAGCTATATAAAAGCACAATCAGAGCTGTGCAGTGTGGTTTAGAAATAAATAAGCTCTACCTGAAACTGACGGATGTAGAAGGCAGTCTTTTCAGTCAGGTTGGCCTTTTCAGCTTCTCCCTCCATCTCCCCTGAAACATCTGAAAGGAAGAGAGAGACACTTCAATTGCTGATGCTGCAGAAAACAGAGTATTAAGAGCTTGAATAACACCATGGAACAAGCCCTCAGTCAGTCCATGAGTGACCCACCGAGAGAGCAGAGGAAACTGGCCACTTGGGTGGGGTATTGCTGTAGCACTGTACTGAAGATGCGCAACAAGCCCTCCAGACACAGCAGAGACATGCTCTGACTCTTCTCCTTCTTCCCAGCATCCTCCACAGCTGATGGA